TGAAGTGCCTGTGTATCGTCTTGGTTGCGTATCTCTCTCCAAAGTTTCACGTCGTCGGCAAAAAGTAATAAGTCTGACGTTACCTGTTGAGGAAGATCATTTATGTAGATCAAGAAGAGAAGAGGCCCTAGTACTGAGCCCTGGGGGACCCCACTAGGACATTCCATAGCCTGAGATAAAGTGAAATTAACCCTAACCTTAAAGTGTCGATTTTTTAGGTATGAAGTAAGCCAATCGATTAGAGGTGGTTTGATACCTAGTCGTTTGAGCTTGTTGATAAGACACAAGTGGTTAACCTTATCAAAAGCTTTTGAGAAATCAAGGTAAATGACATCAACCTTTCCCTTGCAATCGAGGATGCTTGTCCATCTGTCCACCGCAGTCAGCAGGTTGGTTATACAAGAGTAACCCTTCCTGAAACCATGCTGTTGGGGTGAGAAGAAATTTAAGGACAGTAGATAGTCATTTAAACCGTCGCATATCAGGGACTCCATGAGTTTTGAAGGTAATGACAGAAGAGCCACCGGCCGATAACTTGAAGGTTCATTGCGTCGACCACCTTTGAAAATTGGTGTGATGTGAGCCAACTTCCAATTTTCCGGTAATTTGCCTCGGCTAAGCGAGTGTGAAAACATCACGCTAAGCGGCGTTGCCAGGATTGAGGCTGCCTCCCTCAGTATGGCAGGATGAACCATATCCGGGCCAGGAGAAGTGTCAAGTCTTAAGTGCTGCAATTTCCGGAACACCAAGTCAGCGCTTAGGTCCACTTCAGAAAGTCCTGTGGAATTGCAGATGAAACTGTCGTCAATAAAGTTGATGTCAGCCGGTTGAAATGTTTGAGAGTAATGGGCCGCCAGAAGGTTAGCGGCGTCGCCATCGTTGTTGGTCGGGCCGTTAAGACCTAGCAGTTGAGAAACTCCTGTTTTGGCTTGACGAAGAGAGGCTGCATAACGGAATAGGCTTCTAGGGTTAGAGGCGAATTTGTCCATAAGCTTTGTTTGGTACTGAAGCCTGTCTTCTCTTATAGCCTTCGTGCATGTGTTCCTGATATGTTTGTATTGCCTATACGCTCCATCGTTATTAGTTCGTTTGTATTCCGCCCAACAGTGCCGTTTGCGGCTTAGGAGGCGAAGGGTACGGTTCTTGATTACTGTAGGTGGCTTGAAGCTTTTGGGAACCGTTTGAGGAACTGAATGGTCTGTAGCACATAAGAGCGTGTGCAGTAAGAAGTCCCAATGACCATCCACATCGATTTGAGGGTGAACATCCCAAACCACCTGTTGTAGATAGTCATGTAGAGCTGGCACATTCAGCCGTTTAAAATTCCAACGCAAATTATTGTTGGGATACCTTAGCTTAGTTTTGATGACAAAACTGAAGGCTATGACGGCATGATCGCTTTTTCCCAGAGGAGCCAGGATTGAGAGGTTGTCGACTAGGAATTCTTCGTTAGTGAATACACAGTCTAAGCGCGATGGTGTCTGACTGTTTCTCCAACGAGTTGCCGACCTCACATTTTCATATAAGCCCAAGTTATCGATGAGGTTGAAGAACCGAGCTTCAATTGAGTTGTCGCCTCCAGTGTACGTGTGTTCCGCGAAGTTGACTCTAGGGAGATTAAAGTCCCCTAGAATCAGGATGTGTGTGAAACCGAGACGGATAGAGCGGGATAGTCCTTCCAGCATACGACTATCGTACTCGGTGTCGGCAGTTGGCTTCCTGTAAATGACTCCGACTAGACACCTGGAAGTACTAGACAATCTTACAGAGCACCACTCACAGTACCTTCCGGCTATTACTGTTTCTTCAGTACTTTTCCGGGCCACGTCATTGCACTTCGTTTGTAAACCGTGTATATACACTTATGCGAACTGTCAGTTTTGCGGATATATCTTTTCATCTGGCGATTAAGTGACTCTACACGATTATTTGTGTTGTTGCCCAGAATCAGAACACTTCCGCGAAAGGCATATGCCCGCATACTTTTACGTGGCATCCAAAATGGAAGAAGATACTGACCAAGTACGCTATTTTTTTAATAATTCGGAAATATTGATTAAATCTACTGAATGTGTAACATTTCAAACAATACCTTCCAGCAGTTTCCGCCGTTACCAATGGACTGAAATACGTTCAATATTTTGTCGTGAGCCTAGAAGCAGTTTTATGTAAATCACGATTGCTGTACCTTTTTACGGAAAGCTTACCATACGTGAAAGGCGCACAAAATAAAATTTGCATGGTCGTGTGTAATACGCACAGCTGCGCTTTCCGCTCGTGTGCAGTCCATAACAAATGCTTGCGTTCTTGTAGTAGTTCCCGTGATTTCTTTGAATTTTTCCAGAACCCAAATAACATCTGCACTCATTTCCTTTCGCATCCATGCAATTAAAACAGGGTGTCCTCAACCAAAATTATCCGTCGCTACCAACATGAATAACGAATATATACAAAGTGAAATATAACCAAAAGCATAATTACTTTTTATTACTGGTATTGTAAGTAGAATCTATACAAAAAAGTTCTGGATAATTAATGTACAATTGTATCTGCTCATGAGTAGTGAAACAGATTATTGTCGCATATCCGTTTTCATAATGCTCTCTCACTTCACCATTCTGTCGCAACATATCCGCCACTTGCTTTCGCGAATTACTTCGGAGATGCTTTTCGAGCTGTTTGCCGGCTTGTCTGTAACAGTATCTGTCAGTTTAAGCGAACGGAATTCAAAAAGGAGCAGTGATATGAAGTCGGTCGAAGCTTCTTAGATCAGTGGGTAATCTACAATGAGAGTTCAGTGTCGTTCAAAACTCCCGACAGGTCTACCCACACATTGGGGCGCAAATATAGGAAACTATGAAATAAAGGAAGTACCATTTCCTTGCGTCCTTTTTCACAATTATCGAGAATTCACAGCAGGCCATAGCCTCTATCCCTGGCTAAATACCATGTCGGTACGGCTTAAAGGTTTATAACTTGGCAAGCGATCACTCACTACGTTGGTCGCAAACAAGCTCACCATATTCGGCTGATACTCAATATGATGTATATACAGCTTGCAAGTTTTGTCTAAAAGTTGACTCACATCTCTTATACGGGGTAGGGAGGATTGCTACCCGTAAAAGTTCAAAACTTTGGGGCTTACCATATGAAGTGTTTCTCGAAAAACCATACATCTTCAGCTATCTATGAAATAAGTGGTTGTATATCACCAGCGTGGACGACGAGGTCTGTTCAATTCACTATATATTGTTATGACCCCTTTCAATCACGTCCAAGTCCGGTCCAACAAGTGTTTATAGCCCGGCTCCTCCCATCACGATGTCCAGGTGAATCAGCTACCCAAGTGACTAGTTATAACAAACAACCACATAACCTCATGCCACGTAAAGTGACTAAAGAAGTTAAGAGTATAGGTACTGCTGAATTACCTAGTACAATTATTCAAAACCAGCTGTCCCTGACGTTGGCAACGCTTGCTAGATTGTCCAACAGCTAGTGATCTTTCGTCTAACTCAGAAATGATTCAGCTGGAAGAAAAGTCTCACTAGGATTCAGTCTCAGTTTGCCAGCCCTACGAGATAGGTTGATTTTAGTTGATAGAATACAAATACAAGGTATTGCATTTGCAGCATCCTCCCTTATTTCAACTATATCATGACTGCCTAGATGACATATTTGAGGCACAATAGAAACCCCATAGGTATATACTTTCTCGTTGATCAATTAAATCTCATGACGTACTGCTCGAACAGATACTGTAAACATCTTCATTTGAGACAACCGTGAGATTGAGCACATACAGTAGCTTATTAGAAGAGAACTTGTGAACAACTCCGGTATTTGGCCTTCGATACTGTAACGTCCAATGTTTTTACTCGTTCCCGTTATCGAAGTACGGTATATGGATATATTTGCAATTTACGAACCCAAATTAACAATAGAACAAGACTCCAATTTAGGTACCAAGGTTTATTCGCAATTTACAAGTAGTCGAACTACATGTCGTTTTTCCATTTTGTATGTTCCCGGAGCAAAACTCCCAAACACCAAGTCAAAGACAAAGAGAAACGAAAATGTCCAAAATAATGATATAAACAAACAAGTTCGGAAGTTGAGTAAAACAAATACACCCGAAAAGCACAGTGAAATTATTAATATACAATATAAAGGTTGTAAGCAGCCAAATGTCTTCAGTTCTCCCGTAACAAATACAAAAATGTATTCACCTGCAATTCAATCCTTTTTTGGACCTATTCATTAGTTTTATAATTTGTATGTTTTTAACCCGAATCAGTTAATTTCTGGATGACATAGTTCACTAACCTGAGACAAAACCATTCACCGATACCTAAAAACTGGAAATATTCAAGAGGCCTTCAACTCCACTACGATCGGTGCAACTGAGTGACTAGACTATGCATATAAGATGAGACTGGAGACATCGAAACTTACTTTAATGACAAGATGCTAGCTCACGGAAGTACATCGGAGATCAGGATAAACCACACTTCCGCCCTTAATTTTGATCTTGCACTCGGCAACCAACCAAAATGAAGCGGGAATTCTCATTCACACTATCGCAATCCATGATGGTGTGTTTCGTTCTCTGTTGTTTTTGCCTGCCCATGTATGGACTTAAGGTGTCTTGAGACGAAACCATCACTCCACCGTGTAACGTACTTAGTCATGATGGAAGGAAATTCACAACATCGCAAATGTCATACCTTCCATGATAGTTATGACAAAGTTTCTACAGTTCGGTGTCTGACCAAACGAAAAAGTAACTGCGTTTACTGGATACGATACATTTAAATGATTTGAAAACGTTTACTTTAACTCCAAGCATACATCATTTCGTGTACGTTCGTCATATGGATGTTGGATAATGTATGGCGCGTGCTTCGGAGTTGATTTTACAGTTGGTCGTTCATGTGAGTAGATTCGACAGGTGAACGGCCTTTGAGTAATGGTAAAGTGACCTCGAAAAAGCTACACTAATGGTAAGGAGTAAATTTTTTGAGTGCGTTAACGTCGAGAATTGTCTCTAAATTTTTATCAGGCTTGTTGGGTTAGAGTCCGGTAAACCCTGGGCATAGATGCAGTAAGCTTGACCCGATTTTACTAACCTATGCCACAGGTGGCGTTAACTGAGCAAAGGGTGAGCAGCGCGATCTGTAAATAAAAACATGTCGGTTGGGAGTATTTGATCACAGATATCTTCAAGACATTAGGCTCATACAGTGGAACAGCCAAATAAAGATTTCTGAGACTGGCCTTGACGTTCTGAGAAAACATAGCGAGTCGATTGACTTTGTGAGAAATTTTCGTCAACTAAGATGGTTAGGACATGTGTTACGTTTGACCAACCACCTCCTACCGCAAAGCCTGGTTTGTCCAAAGTGTGAATATATCTGCAGAATACTGGGAGCTGCCAAACCAAGACATGGCATCAATCCATCAAGTAATTGACCGTTCATTAGCCGTGTTGGTACATGCATACTATTTGGTTGGGGTTTGCGCGGTCACTTGTTGAAAATGTCGGATGACATGACTTGGAATCGGTCACAACAGCGTAGGTAGACCTAATCTTTGTCTTCCTCCAGTATTATTTTCACAAATCTTGCTTCGCGAAATTAGCCACGTTCTAACCTTATTCTTATACGTCTGGTATTTTGTTTTACGTGGTACTGTTATTGTTTTTTATTCTTTTGCTATCTTTATGGTTCATTTTGTCCATTGATATTGTAGTAGGGAAACTCATAATGACGAACATTTGGTACTCACAAATCGATTATATTTTATCAAAAATAACCGAATTCTTGTTCATAGTCCAAACCAAAAAGACAGTTCTCTTTAGAGATTATCTCAGCATAAAGTAATACTCATTTTTTATTTAACCGAAGGGCATATTTAGTTTTATCTGTAGTTGCAGGAATTTTTAAGGTAGCGACTACCTTTTGCAGATCCCAAGCATGACAAAGGATATGATAAAACTGATGAACTGAAGACATATAGTGGTCAAGATTACTGGTGTGTAATGAAAACCATTCGGTTGTTTTACATTCAGCTACTGTCTGGTAATAACAAATAACTTGAAATTATTTATAGAAATGTCATCTTTGGACTAGTAGGATAAGTTGAAGTCCTACTCTTCGGTGTCATTGCTACGAGTGGTGTTTGATATTTATACACATACTTTCAGCGATTGATTTCCGATAGTAGATTTATTGTGTCAGGAAAAAGTTCAGATACATACGGGAACCTAAAAACTTTTAATTCCCCTTATGCAATACTAAGAATATTTGGTACAGGTTTAAGTCTTCAAACTATGGGTTTTGTACGCCCAAGCAAAGTCCATGAGCATAGATTGAATTGTTTGTGTTTGCCAGCTTTCGACTGACCATTAATATCATTTCTTGTTAAATTAGTAATTGACGAAGTTTGCACAAAACAGCTAGAAACGTGGTCACTGTTCCAAGTCCAATGTATTTGCAACACTAAACTATTTGTTTGGCTTCTGTGATTGGTCTTTAAGACATTAAATCTTGTCAGCACTTAACCAAGTAGGTATCTATCACCGACGGTAGAGTTTTCATACATCACATTAAGCGACCTGATTCTTTTGTGCTTACTACAGGAAGAATTTCATTCTTGTTAACTAAAAGATAGTGAAAAATTGTGAGGTCCTACCTTAGATTCACAATACAACTGTCACTACAATTAATTGGACTTGGAATTCCCGATAATTTTATTTTAGTGTTTTGCTTATTGGGTTTTCTCCAATCTCAGTAAAACAGTTCATACTTGAGAATTGTAGTGTGCTTACTACTTTAACTCATGGAGGAACAGTGTATCGTCCCTAGTTGGTTAAAATACACCACATAACGTTTCAGATGTCCATCCTAAGAGACGATTGTCCTAACAATCACCGCTCCTTATTAGCTTATCTCAGAAACAAAACTGATTCGGAGACCGTAAGTTTCACTAGGGACTCACTGTCATATTCAGAATAGTTGCAGAAGAATAAATCCATAATTTGTTTGACTGATCGCTACTGAATGGTTTTAAAGTTAAAAATTACCGTTAATAGGTCAGTCAGCCATAAATTAGAACCTGTAAGTATGTACATCGGTTCAAGTTGTTGTACCCCATAAGCACAGAGCGATTGAGTTGTCGGACCAAATCCTAGAATAGCATAGGTAGTAACAGTTTCAGTGATAATAGTAAAAGTTAGACATCAAAGATGTGTCTCAAAAAGGAGAAATACAAACAAAAAAGTCATGAGTAATTTAGGACCTCAAAATCCGACGGAAGACAAAGAGTGGATGCACATGCGCCATTCCAAAGGATTTTGATCCATGTCATTCAGAGTCTGACCATTGGTCACGATAATTACGCGGACCCCAACCAGGTAATCTATACCTACTAACATGGCTAAGTTCAGTTGTCAGTGACTTCACTGACTGATTCTATCTCTTGGTTTGACCACTCTTAGCTGTTGTCCAGCCTACTTGTGCACCAGAAAAAACCGCCCATCAAGACAGGTGGTGGTTGAGTATACGTAACACATATCCAAACCACCTCAGTTGATGAAGACCTACTACCTCGTCAATCGATTTCCAATCCTTATATCTAGTACTTTATTCCGAAGCCCGACATGGCTTGCTTCGTCGTCCTAAAATTCACGAGTAATGTTTCGTTGATACCTATGATCGAGTGCCAGTAACCTACGAATATCCGCTATTCTCAATGATCATGTTTCACATCCAGCAAGTAGGACGGAGTGAACTGCTACTCAGTAAGGTTGCCCTTTGGATGTAAGGCGGATATTTCGACTATGCCATGATTGACGCAAGTTGGCAAAAGCCAATCGAAACTTCAGAATCCATGTCGAGATTTCGTAATACACCTAAATGCCCTGGTATGGCCGACAGTGGGGAGAGTCCGCTCACCCTCTCGAAATGCTCTCACATGGCCACGTGCATACAGCCACTGCCAGGGAAGTCCTACTCACTATCTTCTCGCGGCGGGAGCGTTGTTTACGAAATTGAAAGGGCAAAAAGCAAATGTCCGGCGCTTTAACCGGGTTGGTGGACACGAAAAGTTCACTTAGGGTAGTTGGAAAACCCTAATTTCAAACCAATGGTGCACATGGGCTTCAGTATCCTGAGTAAACAAATGGCGTATGAACCAATCGTTGGTCACCGGCTACCATGGGATCGCATCTCCTTACGATGCTCCACTGTTTTGTGGATCAGACCTGTAGGTCGAAGGCTCCGAGTGTGGCCCCCCAAGGAAACCACCTGCTTCGGCTTGGGCACTCGGGCAGTATCACAACCCTCACACAAATCTCATTTGATTTGTGTGGCGCATATGTATTTGGTGCCTCATTGTACCAATATCTATATGTTCAAATAAATAATAATAAAGTCTCTCTAATCGCATTAAAGTACAGATTATTCTCACTATTTACATGGTGTAATTTCGCCGTACGTCAGTCAGTTAGCAAGAAATCACTTGTTGAACGAATAGTTCGAGATTGATTCCGAAAATTTTATTGTGAAGGTATTGATGCTGATATGGGACATAAACGTCTGTTGGCATGAGAAAATAGTTATATTTTTTATGTAAGTGGAATAATGTAAATCAACTAAAGAGTCGGGGGGAATCATTGTTGTTTACTTTACAGTTGCCCAGTATTTTAGCCCATTTGAAGAATCTGGAATTTTGAATAAGTAAATTCTAAGTGAACACGCGTCAAATTGAAGAACTGTTTGAATATACTTGATATATAAGCATTCTAAGTTTACGCCTATATTGCCACTATCATTTTCACAATCGAACTAAGTCTCATGTTGGTAAATACCTTTATTCCACAAAAATGTAGAATAATGTTATAAAGGGGAATTACACTGCGTACTTATTACTTCGGTAATAATAACCAACTATTTGATGCAATTATAACTAAACCGTCACGATTAATTTTTGCTTACCACCCTCCAAGGAATTCTTACCAACTATTGTTTTGTAATTCATAGCAAGAAATATCTAGTCGCTAAACTTTCGAAGTGGAGATATAAATTGTTATAACCCAATGCACTTGATACGTATAGCATTCAATAAAGCAATGAGTTTCAGCGAATCCTTAATCTTTTGTTTCCTGTAAAATTGCTGGTTTATAACAGATGAACATCTAAATAACTGGTTGGTTTACTAGCTTGCTTCTCCATTTCACGATGGTATGTAGATCTGAATAAGCCATATAGTGTCTTATTTCTTGCCTTATCTTTCACTTTGGTTTAATGAACATCAATGATTTTCAACATTGAAGCTGTCTCATTTTCCGACAAAAATTTCTGCATATCGTGGTTTTTCTATCTGTGACTCCATCTATACAACATTATTGAGAGTTCGTAGGATTGCTTAAAAAATTAAGTTCTTTTGTTTCGCTTCAAGTTGCTTTTGAGTTTAGTTATTACATTAAGCTGTTTCCGTTCTTGTAGGAGCGTAGCAATGTCTGAGCGTTATTTTGACTTACAGTACCATCGTGTTTTACTACTAGGTTACGGGTTGCGGCACTTACATACTTGCAAACTAAAGGTTAGCATTATATTATTTAATATAATCTCGTAAGTATAAAATCGTTTAATAATTTTACACATTCTAACTTTATCCTTTGTTTTACCTCCATAAAGAGTCATATCCAGAAATTTAATTATTGGCCACGTTATGTAGCTCGCTTAATCAGGTTCCGTCCTGTTTATCGAAAAGAACTTCTAGGTTGGCGTTTTGAAACGGATCATATGTTTCAACGGCCCAATCCTCTACCAAATGAAGTATGTATTCATTTATTGTTGATGGAAATTTATTGAGTTAATTTTTCGTAATTAACATTGTTCACTTCTATCATACTGTCTGGCTCCATGTGCTGGCGTTATTTTATTGTTGGGTTTTTGTGGTAGCGTTGCCGAACTCAATGTTTCAACATTACAGTAAATTGTATCGTATATCGTATAGTTGAGTTCAACTAGTAGAAAGCCTATGGTTTACATTCAGTGCTACTTAATACTCGTTATCTGGAAACTTAATTGAAATTTTACCTTATCGTTTATAACACGAAGTTATGTTGTACAATAGTGCGCTGTTATTGCAAAGTAGGAATGTGATTCAAATAGTAGTTGAGTCAAAAAAACACAAAGTTAGGTGTTTATACAAAACGGGGAATACAATTTGAAGTACTTTAGTTCATCTAAAACGCAAAGGTCCACCATATCAGTGTTGAAAACATTGAACTAACTTTAATGTTTTTTCCAACTAAAACTAAAGGTGGGTAACTGAGGCATTTCTATTTTGAATCCCAGTGTTTGATAAGAGGGTTGTATATAGAGAAATTTATATGTAACTCCATCGAGATCTCTTCAGGTATATATTATACTGTACAGCCTAAATAATTATCGGCCACCTAACAAAGACTCGTGAACTGAAAACACGGAAAAACCAGGCTGGCTTCAGACGTGGTCGTGGTTGCATCGACCACATATTCACCATTCGTCAGGTTCTAGAACACAGGCATGCTCATCGGTGTCCGACAATGCTGGTCTTTCTTGACTTAAAAGCAGCATTTGACTCTGTAGACCGAGAGGTTCTGTGGCAGTGCCTGTCATTGAAAGGCGTACCTCAGAAGTACATAAACCTTGTGAAGGCTCTTTACTCGAACACTACTAGTCGAGTCAGAGCTTATTGCGGACTGTCATCTACTTTTGCAACCTCAAGTGGTTTCCGTCAAGGCTGTCTACTTTCTTCAATTTTGTTTAACTTCATCATAGACTTACTGATGGAAATAACACTCTCGTCGACTGAATTTTCGGGTATTGATCTCCTACCAGGAGGTCCACTTATCGACTTAGCATACGCAGATAACATAGTCCTGTTTTTTTATGTTGATAAAATGCAGATTCTTTTGGTAGCACTGAGCAACAATGCGAGAATGTTTGGAATGAGCTTCTCCCCCTCTAAATGCAAGTTGTTGCTTCAGGACTGGTCTGCATCAACACCTGAACTAAGGATAAGGAGTGAAGTTATTTATTTATTTATTCCGTCACAAAACCTACTCAGGTAGTAAATAGTTCATTGACGTCACCTACTATAAGGCTTCTAAATTTATTTGTTTAGATACATTTAAACGCATTTTGAGAAGGAAAGCGGACTCTCCTCACTCTCGTCCGTACCCCCCTGAATGCCCTGGTACGGCCGAGAGTGGGGAGAGTCCGCTCTCCCTCTCGAAATACTCTCACACGGCCACGCGTATACAGCCTCTGCCAGGGAAGTCCTACTCATTGCCTTCTCGTGGCGGGGGTGTTGTCTACGAAAATGAGAGGACGAAAAGCGAATGTCCGGCGCTTTAACCGGATTCCAAATCAATGGTGCACATGGGCTCCAGTATCCTGCGGGAACGAATGGCGTATGAACCAATCGTTGGTCACCGGCTACCATGGGACTGCATCTCCTTACGATGCTCCACTGCCTTGTGGGTTAGACCTTTAGGTCAAAGGCTCGGGGAGTGGCCCCCTAAGATAACCACCTGCTTCGGTTTGGGCACCCGGGCAGTATCACAGCCCACACACAAATTGATGAACTCTTTATGCCTACGGAAATTACCTTTCTTGCTTTGAAAAACAAACAATTGATTCAGATTATTATCATTACAATTATTGTCATTATTAATACTGTTATTATTATTACTAGTATTATTGTCATTATTGTTATTATTATCATTATTATTATTATTTTCCACATTACTCACCCTCTTTTATACTTATACAGCGGCTCGTCTTTGGCGGAAATCCGACTGTATCTATACGTTCTCGAGTCACTGTCCGGTTGAAAATTGTATGTTACCACCGAATACGAGGACTGAAGCAGATTTTCTGAAACCACGTGCACCATTCAAACTGGCTGCCTTCAACGTTCGCACATTTATGCAGGTCGGACAACAGATAGGGCTGGCTATGTCTTTGGAAAGTCTTAATATCGACGTGTGTTGTCTATCCGAGACCCGTATTCAAGACTCTGGCGAAGTACTACAAATTCGATCTCCATCTGTCGCTTCGAAAAGCTTGTTTTACGTGCGCTTATCCGGGGACCCTGTGGCATCTTCGTCTGGTCTTGCTGGCGTTGGTGTCGCACTAAGCGCTAGAGCTGAGGCAGCACTAGTCGATTGGATCCCCATTAACAGTCGGTTATGTGCTGTTAGATTAGAAAGTTCCATCAAAGTGAGAAGAAATCGGCGTGAGAAACGATGTCTTTTCGTCATCTCCGCCTATGCCCCGACAGATTGCAGCCCGGATGCAATCAAGGATGAGTTTTACCACCAGTTATCAGTTCTTCTCCAGAAAGTGCGTTCGACAGATATTGTAGTACTAGCCGGAGACTTGAATGCTCAGGTCGGGCGTCTAGGCACAGAAGAGAGTCGTTTAGGTGGCCGATGGGGACTCGTTGGTCGCAGGTCAGATAACGGGGACCGTCTACTGCAACTTTGCACAGACCACAACCTGTTTCTGGCTAGCACTAACTTTCGGCACAGTCATCGCCGATGTGCCACCTGGCGTCCTCCCTCTGCATCTCAAGCCTGGACTCAGATTGATCACATCGCGATCAGCTACCGCTGGCGTGGTTGTGTAAAAGACTGCCGCTCCTTTTGGAGTACCTATCTGGACTCTGACCATGCCTTGGTCTGCGCCAATCTTGCCTTACTTTTCAGTGGACAACGAAGTGAACGCCATCAACGGATTGATGTTAGCAAGCTGGTTGCAACTTCTGTTGCAAGTAAGTATCGAACCGAGCTAGCCTCTAGGCTAGCTACCACTCCACCGAAAAGTATAGATGAGCATTGGTTGCAATTGCATGACGCCATGAAAATGGCGGGAACAGTCAGTTGTGGGTTTGCGAAACGTCCCGCCTTTAAGCACTGGGTTTCTTCTGGTTCCTTACAACTCATTGAAGCCCGTCGGTCTACTCCGGGTGACCGTGAGTTTGACCATAAACGAAGGATGTTACGTAAGGAATTGGGCAAAGCTTGCGTAAGGACCGAGAAGCCTGGTGGTCGATGCGTGCTAATGAGCTGGAAGCAGCAGCTGCATCTGGTAACTACCGGAAGCTCTTCCAGCTCATCCGAGCCACTGGCAGCAAGAAGTCTGGTGTGAGTGAAACAATCTGCGAGGATGATGGGATGCCAATCACTAACATCCATCGACGTCTTGGACGATGGGCAGAATTTTTCGAAGGGCAGTTCAACTGGCCTGCTGCTCCGGCAACATCGGTCAGACTGTCCTGCCCTCCATGGCCGGTGACGACTGATCCACCAAATGAGGAGGAAGTCCGCAAGGAACTCCAACTCTTGAAGCGTTACAAATCACCTGGCCCAGATGACTTACCTCCGGCTCTTTTTAAAGATGGTGGTGACTTTTTGACTAAGGAATTGACGACGTTGTTTACAAAGGTTTGGGAACTAGAGTGTGTACCAACGTCATGGAATGAGTCGATAGTTGTCCCTATCTTTAAAAAGGGTTCACGTCGTTCTTGTAACAACTATCGGGGGATAAGTTTACTTCCGATTGCGTCCAAGCTATTGGCTTCCGTCATTCTTCGTAGGTTGTTCAAAACCCGAGAAAGATTGACTCGCGAGGAGCAGGCTGGGTTTCGTTCTGGTCGAGGATGTATTGATCATATCTTCACCCTCCGCCAAATGTTAGAACACCGCCATACTTTTCAAAGGCCAACAATCGTAGTGTTTCTTGACATCAGGGCTGCCTTCGATTCGTTGGACAGGACTGTTCTCTGGGATTGTCTATTGAAGAAGGGTGTGCCTGAGAAGTTTATTAACATCCTGAAAGCCCTGTATAAAAACACCTCAGGCAGAGTGAGGGCATACAACCACCTCTCTCCATTGTTCCATTCGAGCAGTGGGGTTAGGCAGGGTTGCCCAATCTCACCATTCCTCTTCAACTTTGCCATCGATGACATTCTGGAAACAGCTCTGATGAATGTAAGTAATGGTGGTGTGGATCTGTTGCCTGGAGAAAGACTTCTCGACCTTGAGTATGCGGACGATATTGTCTTACTGTGCGATAATGCCCAAGGCATGCAATCCGCACTTAATCAGTTGGCAATCAGTGTCCGTAGGTATGGTATGTGCTTTGCACCTTCGAAGTGCAAAGTACTTCTACAAGACTGGCAGGATTCTAATCCTGTACTCACCCTGGACGGTGAGCAGATAGACGTAGTTGAGAAGTTCGTGTATCTGGGTAGCTGCATAAGTGCTGGTGGGGGTGTGAGTGATGAGATCAATGCACGAATAGTGAAAGCCAGAGCGGCTTATGCCAATCTGGGCCACCTTTGGCGCCTTCGTGATGTTAGTCTGGCTGTAAAAGGTCGGATCTACAACGCGTCGGTGAGAGCAGTTTTGCTCTATGCTTGTGAAACCTGGCCTCTCCGAGTTGAGGACGTTAGACGACTCTCTGTGTTCGATCATCGCTGTCTCCGAAGGATTGCTGACATTCAGTGGCAACACCATGTCAGTAATGCAGAGGTTCGGCATCGTGTGTTCGGGCACAGAGATGATAACTCAATTGGTGTCACCATCTTGAAACACCGACTTCGGTGGCTTGGACATGTTCTCCGAATGTCGTCCCAGAGAATTCCACGTCGTGCATTATTTGCCGACTCTGGGACTGGTTGGAAGAGGCGGAGAGGTGGTCAGTGCATGACATGGTGTCGTGGCATGAAAGAAAGCTGCAAAGGACTGGCTTGTGTTGGTCCTTCACGACTCCCTGGTTGG